CCATGTTCTGCCTACCCTAGCTTTAAGATGTCACTGTTCCTTTGTCAAAGCTGAAATTTAAAATGAATTCATTAGTTCGCTGTCCTCTGCATCTCTGCATTAAGAAAAGGTACGATGTGTGTCTCAAGCTCACTCACACAGTTTGTTTTGGACGTCTTGCTCACAGCATGAACCAAACAACACTCGCAACACACAAAACATTGCGTAACACAATGCTAAACGACATGGCTCTGTGTGTGTGTGTGTGTGTGTGGGGTAGCGGATGACCTGCTCCACATAAGAAAGGGCTTTTTATGTTCATTTTATATTCCATACCCGGCGGCCAATGGCCTCATTAGCCAGGAAACACAGTAAACATGAATACATCAACATACTCATCCATGTGTAGAATCACATTAATGTATCGCTTAAAAATCTATTCAGATTAATTGATACCATTAACAACCGGTGAAGTGGTGCAACAAATGTGCAGCTATTCAAGCTGCATTATATTCAAGTGTTTCATTGACAGCACCGATCCACTCGTCTCTAATACGAGCAGAACAGTCAATGGAGTGATTCTGTAATGACCTTATTTATCTACAGACAAGAATCCTCTATAACTCTGTAACAGCCAAGTCCCTCCAGTCAGCTACCTGTTCACGGCCGAGTCTGTGCGGATGGTTGCTATCGGCGACCTCATGTTCTTCAAATCCCACACCTTGACGGTGCGGTCGTCGCTCCCCGAAACCACGTTGTCGCCCACCGTGAACACCGCAGACGTCACCGTGCTGCAAAGCAAACACACACACACAGACAGTTTTAATCTAAACTGTTTTACATTAAAGGGATTCACACGGATTTCACGACTTCCTTTAAAGTGCAGTAACTGCTGTAGTGAATAACTAATGCAGTCGTCCTCTAATGTATTCATCCCTTCCATTAAAGAAAAGACAAAATTCACAATAGTCAGTCAAATAACTAGAAACTGAAAAAAGTAATAATAAATAAGAATTTTCTAAATTATAATTTTGTGAAATAAGACATTGCTTTTTAATTATGGTTGAAAAGAATAATTTAAAAAAACAAAACTGTCCCAGACAAATTAGAGCACTTTGCTGATGAGGAGTGAAATCAAAATACCTGTCAACAGGTGCAGAAGTCTGACTGAGAGTTACAGAAAACACCTGATGGCAGTGATTGGCTCAAAGGGTTGTTCAACTAAATATTAGTTTGTGGGTCACATCATGCTTATTTGCTTGTTTTTTTGTTTGTTTTTTTAATGTTTTTTTTAAATATTTCTGTTGAACCACAATTCAAAAGCAATGTCATTCAATTTTTATTTATTATTGCTTTTGTCAATTTCAGCTTATTACAGTGAAAGGCAGCTGGTTTTTCTTCTTTAATGGGAGGGTATGAATACATCTGAGGATGACTGTACCTGTAGAGAGGACCGTGTGTGTCTGATCTGTTCAAACTGTTTAATATCAGATAAATCCATTGGTAAGAAAATATACATTTATCTTGTATTTCAGGAGAAAAAAGAAAGTTTTTGCAAAAGAAAACTTATTTATATCCAGTTTATCGACTCTCTTTCACAGACGTTGTTGCACCTAGAAGAGGAGGCAGACGCGTCGCAGCGACGTGTCGAACAGGATGCCAGAGAGAATGTATCAGCTGCGTTCCAACATTAACGCGGTGATGTTCTTGATTTCTAAAACATTACAGGTTATCACCTTCCCCTAAGAGGACAGAAACGTTGGCAGGATCTGTCACCCACGGTGAGCTTTTGTCACATAGGTGCAGCTGTCAGGACAGCGTGATGGGTTAAAAGATGACTTGAAAGCGTTCACACCACCGAACGTGTTCAAGCTGTCAAGATGCTGCGAAAGACGATTTCCACGTTGCTCTCTACATACATTCAGCGTCAGTCTCAGCAGTGTATAGCTGCTTTGTTCATCCATTCACTGCAGTAGGTCATATGTTATTTTCTCATTTTAATAATGTCTGTTTTTAAAAAATAAATAAATAAAAACTGTAGTTTTGACAATATAAACTTCATCTGAACTAACTGAAGCAGCTGAGCCTGTTTCTCAGCTACATTAACATCCCACTCCCAGGTTACACCAAACATTTATATTGAAAACTATATCTGTAGTTATCCATCCATCCATTATCTATACACCGCTTAATCCTCACTAGGGTCATGGGGGGCTGGAGTCTATCCCAGCTGACTCAGGGTGAAGGCAGGTTCACCTGGACAGGTAACCAGTCTATCACAGGAGGCGAAACGTCCCCAAGAAACTCAAGCAAGTCCAGTTGCTACGTTCAAACCACGAGAATACCCATGACCTGGATGACTGAGAATCTTCATAGACATATAAATATATATCTGATAAATCACTCAATAAAATAAAATTCCAAGATCAGTAATGATAAAATAATACTTGAGGTTTAGTGTAAAAGCCACAACCAGAAGACCTAAAGTTTCTAGAGGGTTCGACAGATAAAAGCAAGTCTGATAAATACAAAGGATCCAGGCCGTAAGGAGCTTTGTAAACCAATAAAAGACCCTAAAATCGATTCTAACAGTGACAGGACAGCTCAGAACAACTTAGAGACAGACAACCAAGCACACTCACATTCACACCTACAGACAATTTAGAATCACCAATTAACCTCAACATGTTTCTGGACTGTAGGAGGAAGCCGAAGAACCCGGAGAGAACCCACGCTGCACGGGGAGAACATGGAGACTCCACACAGAAAGATCCCGGGTGTCCTCAACGGGACGCGAACTGCCAACCTTCCAGCTGCGAGGCAACAGTGCTAACCACCGAGCCACCTTGCAGCCCCAATCTATAGTTATGTAAAATACAATGTAATCCTACAGGCAGCAGTGTTTCTGACCTTCTTGCTCTTTGGACTTGCTCTGGTGAAACTACTCTGTAGAGTGTACAGGCTGCAATACAGAAGGTGATGTCAAACTGACATGAAGTCTATACTGAGAAGAAAAAAGGCTCAATCCCAAATCTGTGTGCTGCTTCAGCACCACGGACAGCACCGTGGACCAATCAGTACAGTCTGGTTTTAGAGTCCAAGTCGAGGCCATAGATTCTAACTTACAGTCAGTCAGGAAGGTAAACTATTTAACTAAACATCCCCTCTACCCTCAACTCTGCTCCTAGAGGATAAAGTCAGGGTGGCAGGTTAACAAGGAGGACACATTTCAACTTGCTACCAATTACTTCATTATTCAATATTTATCTATTATCAACAATTGAGCCTTTACTTTAGCACAGAGTATCAGGTTCTCTGCTAGTTTCCTTACTAGTTATCACAGTCTCAGTAGGTGTTAACGCGTTATAACAACACAAATCAATGACAGCTGGTTATTACTCTTGATCAACTGATCATAAATAAATAAATCAACCCCATTTACAATCCTAGCTTGCTGTTTATTTTCTTGTTAACACGATGTGGATTTTGTTTTTTAAAATCAAATCACAATTTCTATTCCGGTTGAGTTAAAGTTCTTTATTTACATTTTGGCAGCTACAGAGGTGATCACTACACCGTGGCTGTATCCCTGTAGGTAAACAGTTGTATAAGTTCTGGGATCCCAAATCACACGTTTGTTCATTTTTTAGGGAAAAAGTAAAAATGCAGCAAAATACATTAAATATGAACTAGTATTTATGGCATGTGCAGCTAACGCAGTCGAACTCATTAGAGCTTAATTGATGAATAATTAACTGGACTCTTGTGTTAACACTAAACAACGAAGGCCTCCTTTAAGCCACCCACGGGTGCACAAACCTACAGCTGTAGTAGAAAGCAAAACTGCGTTCACATCTGTCTCTGATCTGAGGTGTGATCAGAGGTGCAGCAGACCCGAAACCAAAAAAAGGTCACCTATAAACTCCCTACTCTTATTTTTCTACTTTACATATTTAACATTTATTTATTCATCTGATCTTTTTAACCGCCACGTTGGGCGCACTGGAAGCGTTCTTTACATGCAAACAGCATCTCCATCCTGCACGACCTTTCTTTATCCGCCCAGCTGTGATGGCACATGCTAGCGCTAAAGTCAGGGCTAGCCGTAACACTTCCATAACTATACGTCAGTCGCTCTCTCCTTTATGTTCCCGTTCATTCATGGAGCGAAGCTTTAAAAAGAAAAAAAAAAGCTGCATGGGATTTCTGATTCCTGACTAAGGTTGTGTAATGTCTCCTCATGCACACACACACACACACACACATACAGTCTTGGGTTCCACATCTCCTCTTTCTAGCTAAAACTGGCTTCTCCCTTAATTCAAATTGACACGGCATTAAGGCCTAATTAGCGGACTAAACTTTGTCCTATTAGAGAGGCCGGAGCTCAAGGAAACTGCTGTATCGTTACAGGCACCTTCTGACATTGCAGGGTACAGCCCACCTGGGAATACAAGAGGTGCAGAGAGAGATAGCGAGAGGGAGAGGAAAGGGGGTGTGCTGGGTGGGAGGTGTGTGGGGAGCGTAATCAGACAAGGTAATTGATTAAAAGGTTGATTAAGGTTAAAGGGTTTTTAGAATGGGTGTGAGGAGGGAGGGAAGTATTCAGAGGTACTTAATGCTCTGCAGTGTCTCTGACAGCCAAGGTCAGGACTGGTTGGAGACTTGGGGAGCTGGAGAGGCAGAGAGAGAGAAAGAGAGAGGGAGAAAGAGGGAGAGGAATCATGGGAGCTCTCTGCACTCACAGAGGTTAAGGTGAGTTGAATGTCTCCCTAACGGTAAAGCCCAAAGGTCCCTCAGCTGTGAGAAGGGTGGCACACGAGAGGCTGAGAGTGGTGAGATTTCAACAACACCTGAGAGACGAGGCACTACAGGAGACATCCTGCCTCCGCCTGTCCTGTTTCTACATGTTCTCCTCCAAAGGAACCGTTTCAAGAGGTCATAGTAGATCGTTACGGCGCGTCAGTCCAAACCGACCTGACGCTTCTACAAACAAACACATTTTTATTTCAACAGCTATAGACTTTAAACAGTTATGGCTTAAAGCTGCTCTCCTGGTTTTAATAAGAAATCAGCTCTCAGTCATTTTAATGTTTAATTGCTTTGACAAAATAAAAATAATTCTCAGAATACTACGTGGAGCTCTCACATCCATCGTTAATGTCTGCATAACAGCCTTCCACGTGGCTTTATGTTATCGACCTGGCTGATTATTGATTCCGAAATTCAATATTCTTGTTTTTTCAACTGAATTCTGAGGAAAAAAGATGATTAAAATGCACTATTTTGGCTGCCTCTCTCTCTGTTTGTAGTCACCACTCTTTTATCTAAAACAAAGTCCTGCTGGCAGCACTATCTGATTATGTTCTCTTTTAATTAAACACATGTAAAACCTACATTTAAAAAAAAGCATTTCAATTAAGTTTTGTGTTGGAGATTGTGTTACACCAAAGATTTTCAATTTAACTCAAAATTTCGTTCACTGATGTTGACTGATGTATTTTACAGGCAAATATAAGATAAAAAGGGTTTAAAGGAAGGCACTGCCCAGACCGAGGAGGAATCTTTTGCTTTAAGAGGAATCTACTGTCACTTCTAATTTTTTAACATTTGACATCACTCTGATTAGAAGCTGCAAACAGAGAGATATCTATAAATGCATATTTAACTTTTTCTGTGGGTTCAGCTCAGTGTGATCCTGCTGGTCAGAACAAAGACGGGTTTTCATAGCAGCATGACTAAGTTCAGAGGGTATTAACTTGATTTGACTATGGAATACAATAAAAATACTTTATTGATCCCCAAGGGGAAGTTCTGTATCCTATCTTGGACTGCTGTTTGTGTCTTTTTTGGGGGGATATTGTTCTTTTTTTTATTGCTATTTTTATACTATTTTTCTATGTTCATTTTGCACCATGTCGCCTCGGAGTTTGGTAATTTCAGTTCTGTGTATGTTGTACATGTGGCAGAAGTGACAATAAAGCTGACCTGACTTGACGAAAGCCCTCTATTAGCTTCACATTCATTGTGAACCTAGAAGTTTGGATAAATTACTCAAAAATACTAATAAAAATAGCTAAAAAAGAAAACGCAATAGGTTAATTACACACAAACTGACCTCACTCTGCCAGTTCATCAATTTTCTAGAAAAAAAAAAAAAGAAATCCTGCTGAAACATCTATTAAGTTAATGGGACCTTAACAAATCCTAAAACTTAACTCCAAATAAAATTGTTTGGAATCACCACAGGATTGTAATATAGCAAAAAAATGTATTTGAAGAAGATTCTGCAAAGTCCCATGAACTTAATAAAAGTGTGCACATGAAGTTTTTTTTGACATGAACTGGGAGGGTGAGCTGGATTGATCCAACAGCATGTCAGTGTGATTTAGACACACAGCAAATGACAGCAACACAATTTGAAAAAGGGAAACACAGGAAATGACAAAACTCAGCACAGTCCTTTCTTTGTTAAGTCTTCACCTACCAGCACTTCTTTTCTATACATGAATCCGCTGAAGTATTTGCACTGGGGCTTTGCTCCGAGCAACCGCTTTTAATGACTGATGTTTAAATGTATGAAAATCTCACAGAATCTTAAAACGCACTCACTCTAAGTGGATGAGAGTGTAAGCCAAATGCCTGAAATGTAAATGAAACAATTCAAGTACAGACGACTAAGAGGTTTAAGAGCACTCTGTTATTTTTGCTGTGCTGCAGCAAACCTGACGGTCTCTGAGAACCTGGTAAGTGCCGGTGTGTTCCTCCGGAGAGGATGTCACATCTGCATGCAGACGCCCCCCCAAACCCCACCACACACACAAATCTCTATCAAACCGCAATCAAATGTCTCCGAAAGCAGTCGATGGCAGCAGAGGCAAACGTGACATGGCATCCCGTTTGTAGAGCAAGTCCGCTGTCATTTCTCGTTTGCTCTCGGCCGTTTTCTTAGCTCGTGCGCGGTTGTCATTACACTGCAATTACAGCGGGGTGGTGGGACGGAGGGTGTGTACGGCACTTTTAGCCGCCGAGGTTCGCTGTCAGGGAGCGTTAGCCGTAATTGCTGCTGAAGACGGTGGAAACGAGAGACTGTCTCCCCTCGAGCTCTCAACTTCTTCTGCCTATTAAACCATTCACACTGTCCTCTCCGCTGCTGTTTCCACTAGAGGGAGATTATGCCATTTATGCCACAGCGTTACGCGAGGCTGGAGAATCTGGGAAATTAGCGAGACAAATGGTGATTTGTGGTCGTTTTAGGATGCAGTTGGAACCAAAAAGATTTACAGGTGGAAAGTGGAAAAAAGTGTTGGACAGAGTTTAGTTTAAGTGATGACCTTTTACTCTCTTCTCCTCTCACACGGAAATAAAACGATGCGTTCACTAATTAATGTAGAATAAATGCTTCATAGAAAAATTAGTTTGCAGCTATTTTGACAGTAAATCATGACTTTTAAAAATCAAAAACGGCAACAAAAAAAATAAAAGAAAGAACTGGCTTTATCTTTTCTTTAGATGCCAAATGTGAAGATAAAATCCAAAACCAGACTTTGCTGAAACTTCTTCATTTGTTTAAATTTTACGTATGTTTGCCTGAAAGACAAATGTTCACCATTTATCCTTTGGTACTGGTTGCAACCAATCAAATGAGAAAGGCAGATGAGTGAAAGTAATGCATATTTAAATGTATTAGATTTTAATGGGAATCAATTAAAATGAAATAACAATAACTAATCAGCCAGGCCAACAACCGGTTCACCTTTACTTTGCTGGTTTTCTTCATCTTTTAAGCAAAACATTTATCTTTTTCACTTTTGCTGGAGCAAAACAAGACACCCGAAGACTCTGGGAAGCATTTTGTGAGACCAATCAATCAATTTACTGACAGAATAAATATCCCCGTGCAGCTGCAACAGTTTGTCCGACGATATTTAGCTGCAGAACAGACAGAAAAATTACCTGCAACTACTTGTTGAACTCATTTCTGACTGACATCTTTTGAACTGTTCGCTACACAAAAGCACGATATCGGTAGAGGTTACCCGGGGCTGGTTGAGGATTGTCAATTAGTCAATTAATTAAGTACTAAGTTAATTATTACTTCAACAAGTTTTTTTGGTCTTTATCTAACCTCTCCGTAAACAGCAGAGCTCTGGGGAATCATTACATTTGCCGCCAGGTTTGTTGCCGTAAACGCACAACGGGCAAGGATGGAAGTGGAAATTCGGTAAGGAAACAAGGATGGAGGGAAGGAGAGGAAATGAAATGAGGAGGGCTGTTGTTAACTGTGAAACACTGGTGCTTAATCTCATTACGCCAATTGTCTATGGGAGAGAATTAGAGTGGGATCTGCAGGAATTATACATGTTGGGGTCGTACATAATGAGCTCTACGTAATCCCCCCACTTGCAATCAAAGGCTGCCAGAGAGTACCAGCCAGCCAGCACACACATGTAGACATGCGCATAAACACACACACACACACACACTCTCTACTTACGCCTTTTAAAGAGCGCTGCCATTGAAAGCCACAGACAAGCCTGACAGTCATCGTTTTGAAATGAGCGGCTGCAATTGAGTGTTAACAGCGAGCGAAGTGCCAAATTACACAGAGTGGGGGATTAACGCAGAAACGGACAGATAAATGAACAGGAGAGCGAGGGAGAAAGAGAGGTAGGAGGAGGCAGGCAGACGAGGACGAGAAGCAAACTGTCGAAGTGAGGAGAAGTGCTCAGTAATGAATGAGAAGCAAGTGGAGGATTTGGCTTAGAGCAGTAGGGTCTGTAAATTAATGTAAAAGGAAAAAAGAGGGAAGAAAAAAAAAGAAGAAGCAGAAAGTGCTGGAGGGAATCACAGAACAAGGAGATGCTACAGCACCACCCTGTGGGCAAAACAAAGACTGCTGCGCCAACTGTCCGTCACATGGAACATTTAAGTATTAATTAGCAATGTCTCAGTGTGTGTGTGTGTGTGTGTGTGTGTGTGTGTGTGTCATGATTTACTCAGTGTGTCCCTGGAAGACGTTGACAGAGTGGATGGACGGGTCTCTGAAGTCCCACAGTCTGAAGGTGGTGTCTCTGGATGAGGTGACCACCAGGCGCTGGGTGGGGTGGGTGCAGCAGTGGGTCAGCTCCTGGTCGTGGCCTACACACACACACACACACACACACAGACACACAATAATACAATAGTCCACTCATTTCCATTTGTGCATTATTAAATGATCTGCACAAGGAAAAACCGTTTCTACAAAGAGAAAGCACACGACGGACGGACTGTTATGGTGAAGCAGGGAGGAAAACGTCGTCATCAAAACTGGATAATTCACCAAAAACAACCAGCAAGACTGCCTTCCTGACATTCCCAGCGCTATGAGATGACTGTTGTTGTAAATATGCGCTATACAAATAAAATTGAATTGAATTGAATTGAATTGAATTGTAGGTTGGTTGTTGTTTTTGTTTCTACTACTGAAGGGGATAGTGGGGAGGACAAAACATCCTGAGACTACGCCAAACAGACAGAAGATTTAGTTCCACAGACATGTTAAAGGAACAGTTTGTCGTGCTGGAAGAGACTGACGCCCACCTTACATCTGTATGCTTAAACCAAAGCGACTGCCAGAAGCCAAACCGCTGGTCTTCTAAGGTCTCTGTGTCCAAAATCACCCCCTTTGTCACTCATCCACTCCTCCCTAAACACTTAATAGTTTACTCAATAGTGGACAGAAAATTGATTTCGGACACTTGCTCGCTAACCATCATCATTTTGTGTCATTACTGACTGCGATAGTGACGCACGTCGGTAATTGTCTCATCTATAAAATGCAGAGCGTTGCATTGTGAGATCAGAGAGTCGTACACGTGATAGTCACTGCTTCCTCTCATTCCATTGTGGAAGGAAAATAAGTATATAAAAGAGAAACTTTATGTACTGCTGACAGTAAAATTCGTGGACTGTTGGTTAAAGTTACGACACTTTACAAAGAAAAAAGCACAAAATCCTCCTTAAAATCATCAACTTGTTGAAGGGAAAAAAAATACAAAATGTGAAGTAATAAGCTTTAAAGAACCTGGAATGCAAGTCGGTTCCCCTTTTATAGTCTTTATGCTAAGCTCTGCCTTTACATTTAGTAATCCATTATGAGAATGGCATCAATTATCTCCTTGGATTATATTTATTCCAATTTGTATTGTCACGTTAAGGAGATTAAACAGAGGTTTCTCACTGCTTAGTTTGGGAATGAAACAACAAGAGCCAATTTTGTTCACAACTGCTCCAGGAAATTAACGATGACAACAAACGGTCCATTTCGTCTTCCATTTAGGCTCAGTTACTTATTACCTCCTCACTGAAGGCGACAAAAACAGGTCAAAATGGGCCTGTTAAGCGGTAAAACACTGCGCTACAGGCATTCCCTCAAAACCTACTTTCATGTCTTTTTAGAAACTTGAAAACTTCAGATGTGTGGGTGAGCTGACATTAGTTTGCTTTGTTAGGTGTTAATTTAGACTGAGCTGTACCGTGACTCCAGACTGCTGGACTAACTAAATGACATGAGAGCAGCATAACATGCTCCACTACGACATAACTCTTTAGCCACTTCACGCACCGGTGAGCGTGTGAACCAGTTCAGACGTCTCCACTTCATACAGGTTTGCAGCACGGTCCCAGGAAGCTGTCACCACTTGTCGGCCTCCAACCAGCCAATCAGCTGCGATCACCACGCCCTGGTGGCTCTTCAGGGTTGCTGTAGCAACGCGGACCGTGGGGACCTCGCATGGGCCTTCGCCGTCCACCTCGCCTTCCTCTCTGTCTGAAGAGTCCTGGTCATCATCACATGGAGCCTGAAGAAAAGACACACAACAGATCAGTCGCTGCACATTGTCTCATTTTGGTGTGATTCATTAATTGTGGAGGATAAAGTGACCTATTTGGCAAATGCAATAAATCCTTTTTAACAGGTTGTAGAAACCCTCGGAAGAGAAGCTACTTACACTGACATCTGGTGGTGGTTGGGGGGCAGGAAGCTGCACCATGTAGCGCCAGATGTGAGCTGTCTGGTCCCCGGAGGCTGTGGAAGCATGTGGAGGTGCACATCAATAGACACGCAACGCATTTAGATCTACACACAGGGGACTGCCGGAGACAACAGATGCGGCAGAAAATGGTTGGAACAGTCCCGAGGAGAACAAACCTGTTGATACAGATGCTGTATTAAATGTAGTCAATTCAGCAAATTAAACACACATTGATTCAAACACATACCTGTGAGGGCCATCTGCTCTGTGGGGTGGAACTTGATGGAGTTGACTGTAGGAGAGAAAACAACGATGAAACACATCAAGTGTTCCTGTTATCTAACAAGGCATGTGAGCAAATGTTGGACGAACCAGTTATTAAAAACAGGTATGACGTGACAGAAGGTGCTTCACATATAGTCATACATCCATTTAAGGTTATTCCAAACTATTATTTACTATGATTAATACAGTTTAAACTCATGCACTTTGAAATGACATACAACATGTCTGAGGTAGAATTACCTGATCCTGCATGGCCGGCATACCTCAGCAGACATTTCCCAGTCTCTATGCTCCACAGTAGAGCTGAGTGGTCTGTTAAGGGAGAGCAGAAGTGACTAACATGCACCAGCACTCATCAGTCAATGATTTCATACAGTGACGTACTATATTTGCATAGTGGGCATAGTGGAAGGATTTCTGCATTGTTGAGCTAAATCAGGTTCAACAAGTCTCTTAAAATAAATTAAGCCATAATCGTGTTTCTAGAGGATTAGTGTAGATAAATATTAGCACTAAAACACTACTAGTGTACAGCAGAAGCCATCAATCATCGTAACTATGTTCTCATTTTTTTGCTAATTGCACCAAGGCATCACAATTAATGTGACAATGATATAATGACGGAAATATTGCTTGCAGCACCTTTAGTCTTTACTAATTATTCTTATTTAAAACCATTGTGGCTGCGTATAAAAGAAAGCCGCAGTGATTGATTTATGTAGTGTGTAAAACCACTCGGTGTACCTGCCGAGGCGGTGCCCAGGACCACTGGCTGGGTTCGGGTTACGCTGAGGTCCCAGATCCCATCCCGATGGCCCATGTACTCCTTGAGCAGCTGGCACAAAGCCCGGGAGCCTGTGGTGGCTTTGAAACTGGACACAATCTGAGCAGGGAGGGAGGGAGGAGAGGCGGGTGTGACGGAGGGAGAAGAAGCAGAAAGGGATGGGTATTGATCCAGCTGCTGAACCAAAACCTAACTGCACACAGTGTCGCTAAAATGAGAGAAACAGCAGGTGCACCAATAGAAAGTTGTCCGAATGAAGATCAATACTCTAAAAAAAATGGTATTTACATCTTAACTTACAGTACTTGTGCCTTACTACTATTATTGTAAGTGAGTTTAGAACTTTGGTTCAGTAAACATAACTGATGTCTGGCTGCAGACTGTGATCCAATCCAAGTATAGTTGTAGTTTTTTTCCAGTCTTGTTTTCCAGGTATCACACAGCTTGTCGTTGCAACAGATTTACAGATAGCAGTTTGATACGTTAGATCTAGGGCCTGTATCACAACGTCAGATTGGTGGGTTTGTTTATGGCTAACCCAGGTTTACTGGTGTCTCAAAGCCATTTTCACTTTTAACTGCTGCCTAAACGGCTTCACAGCAGGTTAACTTTAATGAATCAGATTTTTTTTTTAAACTGTTGACAGCATGACATCGATCTGGAACTCATTCCTACAGGATCCTGACAGGAACCAAAGTTTTCAATACGGCAAAAAAAGTGCTAATAAAATTCTACAGAGACATTTTTAAAAGAACAGAATAAGTGTTCTTTCCATGACAATTACATCTAATTACATCAGAGAGAGAATAAACTTTGTTTTTTTTGAAAGATCATGTCTCCACTCTGGGTTTTAAACAAACAGACAGACAGTTCAGCAGAAACTGATGAATGTCCAATGACCAATTATAATTGCATTTTAATTGAGAACACTGCTAATTAACTCCTTGTCAGGCACTTGTTTCTTTGAGCAGAGATGATCTGTACTCTCTCTCTCTCCCTCTCTGCTTTGGCAGCAGGATGAGCCTGCAGTGTGTCTTGTTCATAATAGCATGTTTAAATCATGAGACACTCACTCTAGATGTGAAATATGCTAAACATATTAAAAGGCCTTCAGTGAAGAACATTCTGACACCTATTTATATTAATATCCTTGCCACTATAATGAATATTTGGATATTAATTCCATAGTTTTTATAGCTTCTTCTGTTATTCTACTTGTGTCATTACAATCTTTATGATACAGGCTCCTAGAATGTTAAGCAGCACAAGTCAAGTGTGTTTATACTCTGGAGACATGCGTTGTTTTCATGTCAACCAAAAGGTTTATCGCACTGCAACAAACTGCGTGTGGCTGAAGTATTAATATCAAGTCTGCTCGTGTGTCAAATGGGAGGGAAGATCGTCACTGTGGTGCACCTCTAAAAATATCCACTGGTCTGGTCACACGCAGCCTTGGGTCGCTGCAGGCTTCCACATCAACAAACTATAAAGCGGATTGTAGTTTGACTTGTCACAGAGCGCTCACAGCCTGTACTCTGCATGCTGCTGCAAGCAGACGGCTGACCACAGCAATAAGCTCAGATCATTGGTAGTCATTAGACGCAGCAGCGAAGCATCTGGTTCACACGTGTCAGACTGTGTTAATACACACTCTCATTCTGTCCTGACGGTTTGTGTCCACATTACACTACGATGCAATCTCATTTGTCTTATCCTGTCATTAGAACACAATGAGCAGTGAGCAACAAGAAAAAGAGCCCATTCCATTCAAGGTCAACCCAGTAGCACACTGAGGCTATAGTTAGTGCACAACATTAGTTTCATGTCCCTTCAGTCTTTACAAAATTAGTCTTTGATAGGTTAGATTATGTAGCAGCTAGTTCTGTCAGGAGGTTAATCTCAAGAGTCCTCCCTTGATCTCGTGAATCCTCTTTTTCTAACATTTAAAGCAGAAGAGGATCGTGTCCCACTCTTCACTCAGCTCAGGCTTTGGCTGCATTCAGATTGTTTCTTTGCTTTAAAAAAGGCAACGGCAGGAGAACATGTTACACAGAGTGGAAGATAACCGGATGGGAAAGATATTTGTACTGGTTAATTTAAAGGAATAGTTCAGATATTTTGGGGAAATGAGCTATTTGCATTTTTGCCAAGAGGTACACAAAAACTTCTATACTCCTATTATGTCTGTATTTCAAGTGGCCAGTTAGCTTAGCATAAGGACTGCAAACACAGAAACAGCAAACCCGGTTCAGTTAAATGTAACCAAGCCTACTCCCCACATAAAATCCAGGATTTATGTCCATTTTTTAATCTGCGTATAAACACAAGTGTAAACACAATTCACAGCTTTATGGGAGCTTATTGCACCAGATATTTGTTGTTTGGAACAACAAAGTCACTAGTTCTGGCGACGAAAAACTTAGTTTTGCTGCTGCTGGGAAGATTTTCTCAGATGTGGACAGAGGCAGACTGGCTGTTTCCTGCTGTTTCAAGTCCAGCTACTGGCATTATCCTCATTTTTAATGTACAAACATGAGAGTGGTGTTGATGTTCACTTCTAATCCTCAGCAAGAAAGGAAATAAGCACATTTCCCAAAATACTGCACTATTCCTTTAAGAGGAGTGTCACTTAATTTTAGTTGTATCTTGAGTACAAAATTCTGACTTCTGACAAACGAGTTTGACTTCCAATTATGTGTTTTGGCTTAATTGTTTTGGTGTAAAAGTGACTTAAGTGGCCAGAAAAGTAATAAACTTTCTCCTCTGTTGGTAAAAGACCAAATGGAGCAAATGAATTAACAGATAAATACATATTCCAGATGTAATAAATGCAGCCGTTCACCCAAATGACTTCGGTGTGGGTGCTGAGCAGAGAAGAGACGAGGAGTCAAGGTCAGACTCTAGTTAAAAAGAGATTCAGCCCACAGCTGTCCCCCCACGATGCTTAGTGACAAACAGAGCATTCAGGAAGTTACCCATGAATCTCCGCCCCACAACTCCCATGTGGCCACACTGAAGTTGCGAGGTCCACCTATTTTGCTCTGGAAAGTGTACAAGCGCTACATTGGCAAAAGATTAAAAAGGAAGAAGTCAAGGGAGATGTCATTTACTGGCAAATGCTTAAGATCACACAGAGTTTCCTTTAGCTACACTTTTTAATTATAATAATGCATCTTTATGGCAAAAAAATTAAAGAAATAAACAAGGATTCTGGGTCACAGTTTCATTTGTTTACCCACTCTTTACACATGATGACCTCAGAGGAAGAGAGTGTTTCTTCCTCTCGCTCAGAAACACAGGAGCTTTTGACGCTGTGTTTCCAAAGACAGGCCTGAGTCCTAAAAGCTCAAATATTTACACACATGACAGATCTACAAGCTCAATCGAACAGGCTAACATAGCCGCTGACAGGTACCTTGCTGGTCGAGGCTTTGTAGGTCGTCTTCAGCTTCTGTGACAGCTGACTGGTGCTGTGGCTGGCTGTGTGACGGACAGACAAAGAACCGTGAATGAAATGAAGTGTTAAACTGTTTGGTTTCACTGCTGCAGTAATGGCCTAATAAAATGTCAAGGCTTTAAGCAGCAAACATCCCAACAAGACAAAGCCTCGTTGCGTGTTTATGTATTAAATGCACATATTTAGGCCGTCAGCTCGGTCTGTAAGGCTGGAAGACTGCTGGACGCTTGCATGTGTCCAGCATGGAGATGCGAAATGAATGTCCAGAGCGGCATTTCAAAAAGCAAGATAATCAGTTAAATCGAGCTTATTTCAGCAAACCAGACTAGTCTAAAGGACATTAGGTTGTATATAAGTCTCATCTAGGTTACTATGGAAACATATCCCTCCAGATTAGCCTGATCACGCTATTTTTAAGTTTGGGCTTTACAAGAATAATAATTTTTTTTTTTCCCCTCCTGTTTACTGAGGCACTATGAACAGCTTTGTGGTACACGACAAACTTATCTGATTCTGACCAGGGCTCTAATTATTATGTATTTGAAATCTGAGGTCATGTTTTCTTTCCGCAAAGTATTCCAGTCAACACACATGCCTTTAAAAATCCAGCAATAAAACGAAGGTAGTTGTTGGCAACTGAAATGCATCTATTAAAAACACGACAGGGTTACACGCTGTTCTGTCACCAACTAGTAAAATCCAGGTTTCTAGAAAATGTTCCTGCTGCTCACACATTTTGTACATCCATCCATTATCTATACACCGCTTAATCCTCACTAGGGTTGCAGGATTTTGTACATATACGTCCTACAAATTATCACACAGAATTCCTTTCCCTTACACAGGAAATCAAGTACAATTTGTAACCGTGTTTCCTAAAAGTTTAAATGATGAAGTTTCACCCGATGAATGTGTGAATTCTATGGTAATAGTAACGGCCTGCTCAGCTACAGGAAAGGCCGGCTCGGTGACATGAATACCATCTCAAGTGGTGAAACTTGAAACTAAGAGTCAGATAAATATCAGTTAAACCACTTTGTGCTGGAATGCGTTCACTTACATGAAGGCGTGCCTTTTTTATTCCCAGTTATTCCGTAACTAGGGATAAACTAGATTTGGTTATTAGTAAGCGCCTCAGAATTCCTGCAGTAAATAGCAGGCATCCAGCTCTGTCTGTTTACTCCTGCATTTGCTTTCATGCATTAGTTTCCCTGCCTATTCAGATTAGATCTAAAACCATCAAAAAAAAAAAGGTATTTTAATGAGAACCAGCGCTCTGTTTATCGAGGCTTCATCTACTTCATCAGTCACAAAAGTAGGATCTGTAGACAATCTTCCTAACCATTTTAATTCCACAACACTCTGGGTCTTTGATGCAACGGCACCTGCTAAGACGATAATAATCTCAGACAAACAGAGAGAGCACCAACAGCAGCATATCAAAAGAATCAAAGAACGCAGGAAGACAGAATGAAAATAGAGAAAAACTAAACTTTGGATTGACTACGACATCCAGAAAGAGAAACTCTGTCTCTACAACTTTGAGTTATGCAGAGCTAAGCAGTCCCATTCTCTTGCATCAATATTAATACACCTGCTTTTTATTTGTCATTGATGGGACTTTATTTGCCTCCGAGTTCTTAGCAGTTAAAAAAAAAATGTAATGAGCTTGCATATTTTTCTCATCAAAATATTGAAAATATCCACTCAGCCCAGCAGAGACATTATGACCTTATCACCCCGAACAAACAAAAAAAAAAAAAGCTTTTATGTCTGACGTTAGTGCAAATAATTACAATATTCTCACATAAATAGTGCAGCTTAAATTGTCCATGTGCTCATTAGATATTCTACCAACGAACATTTAAAAGGTGTTTTTAGCTTTTTGGCTGTGGATTTGTAGCATATTGTAAATTACTCGTTTCTCTCAGGAATATTTCCGGCATCATTAAAAACTGCTGCTGTCAGGTTCCCTTTGTGAAGAGAAATACAGGTTTATGTCAAATCTCCCCTTCATAAGCTTATTGAGAAGGTACTTTTTGATCAAATCTATAATATCTCTCTTACAAATGACATCTTGACAGCTTTCAATCAGGTTTTCTTTAACTCATATTAAAGCACTGCGCTCATAAAGATTCTAAATGACAGTCGGCCGAATGTTGATTCGTGTTATTAGATCTTCGTGCAGAATTCGATACTGTGGATCATGAAGCACTTCTAGACAGACTAAAACTGGGTCGAGCCATCAGGAATGGTCCTCAGATCACACTTAGAGGCCAAAGGTTATGTAATCAGTATAGGTAATTATGAATCAGAAAGAACCGCCACGACGAACGGAGTCCCACAAAGATCAGTTCTTGGGCCCCTCCTATTCAACCTGCTCCTCTTTTTCAAATCCTCCAACACTGACAAGGCTGCTTATCATAGCTATGCAGATGATATCCAGCTCTGTCTAGCGTTCAGGAGACTTGTTATATTGACTAAGCAAACAACTGCATGCAACAGAACTCCCTTTAACTAAATAAAGATAAGACTGAAATAATTCGTTTTGGCAATAAAAAAAGGCAGGCTGGCGCTCAGTGTTTACCTGAAGTCTACAGCACTAAAACCCCACATCAAGAATCGTGGTGTAATCATTGATCTAAAAATTCAGCAGCCACATAAAAGCTATAAGTAAATCCTCATTGTGGCATCTTAAAAACAGAACAGCTAAAATGAGAAACGTTGCGTGGAACCGAGGCTGAGAAAAGATAATTCATCCTTTTGTTTTTTTTTGTAGACTGTAATGAACTGCTGTCTTGCCTCCCTGCTAACAACACTAAACATTCACAACTCATTCAAAATGCTGCTGCTAGAATACTGACAAAGCACTGGCTTCCACATAAAGGTAAATATGGAATTGACTTTAAGGCCCAACTTATTTTCTATAGGTTCTCAATGGTGAATGAAGAAGATATTTATTATTAACTGTAGCTATATTCAACTGAAGATAAAGACTTTTCTTTTCTCCTCTGCTCTTAAATCAATATACCAGTTTTACTTATTCTACAAATTCTCATAATTTTTTGTACTTTTATCAAACTTGTCTGTACTTTATTCATTTTATTCTATTTTTTTTTTCCCCCCATCTGTTGATTTTTCTTATCTTTTGGCTGTAAAGCCCTTTAAACAACCTGTGCATGATAAGGAGAGTGCTTTGTAAATAAACTTGCACTTAAACTTCTCAGTCTAATCTAAAAACAGGCCAGTAGTAAAATACAGCTTGCAGCTAGTATCCTGACATTAGTTAAGCACAAGAAAACCCGACCACTTGTTGTCCACACTTTATCCCTCTCAGGTGCAAGAAATCTCTAAAAATATGTTAAAATTGATCAAAACAGAAGGAGTTGTTGCTGCTGTTGACTTAAATCAGCTGATTGTACATTTTTAGAGCAGAGCCAGCTGGTATACTCCCAATATGCTCTCATCATAACCTCTCACTTTTTAGTACTATGTCATAAAGATAGTAAATAAATAATACAATAATTAAAATCCTGATACGAGCCAACTTCCACTCAGACTTTTCCAGCCACAAAGGGATGAGATATGTATTATAAGCACAATCAACAACAATCAATATTTCCAAAGAGGAAGCATCTATTAAATTTATTAGAGAGAACAAATGACATAAAATCAGCCAGACTCGCAACGGTTTTGTCGGAAACACTGGACCTTTTGTTTTCAGGGCTCCCTTGGTGGGGTCTCCTCCCTCGACAGTCTGTCCATCTCCAGTCAGGCGCTCGTTCAGGGAGTCGATTTCCCGGCGTACTGTAATGTTAGCACAGTGGGAGGGCATCAGTGACCAAATACTACCTGTGCTCTGTTGGTCAATCAACACCTAAAGATCGATACAGTGAGGTATGTGTCCAGGAATGTAACCTACAAATATTTTTGTAGAGTCTTTCTATCAGGAAACTTACGTTCAATGTTTTCAATGTAGAGATTTTCAAATTCGCGTTCGATCTGGCCGAACAGGTCGAGAAGATTGTTCCGCAAAGCGTGGGGCAGCTTGGAGTCCTGGACAAATGGACAGAGAGAGGAACAATGCTTGAATAAACAAGTAGAGGGAGCAGGAGGCATTGTGTCTCACGTATTGTTATTTCCACACCATTTTCAGGTGTCTAGTAAACTGTAATGTGACTACTGAAGGAGAAGCTTGTGTGATTCAATACACACCGCTTCATCAAAGCTACAACAACCCACTTAAACATCTTGTCAAACACAAACTGTGCATTTACCGGATTTATTCAGACGCCATTCAAAGGGAAAGCTCAGCTACATTTTAAGCTACAGAACTACAATCTACAAACAAGTAACTCTACGATAACGAATCAAACTCTACGTTCTAGCTGACTTACCTCCATGGTGAACTTCTAGACGTACCCAGCTACCAGCTGACCAACATTCTCCGCCAGACAAGCACACAAAGAGAAGCAAAAGCTGCCGTGAAAACAACAGTTTCAAACAGCTGCATCTGACAGCTCAGTTTGGGAGCTCCTGCTCAGTTCTGTAGCCATCTAGGATACCAAATACTCGACTGTCACACTCTTTCTGCTGGGGCACGTGTTCAAAACCAACAGTTTGTCGCATTGAAGTTAGTCGCCTGATCATTCTGCCAGCAGCGCACGTCAACACACTTTGTAAAAGAAAAAAAAAAAAAAAGGTCAATTAACAAACAGGCAGCCCTTATGAATTCAAAGCGGCTTAGTTGTGGCCTTTAAACCTGCGGCGTAACTCGGGCCAATAATGACAGCATTAAAAGAGCAGGAGAAAATGCGCTCTGTGTTATATATGGGTTCATAAAGCTGTCTGTGTGTGTGGAACTTGTGCCGTCGGGGGTAGACTGGGTACATAAACAGAGCCAGCATGTCTTGGCAATAGACAGAAAGGACTGTTGAAAAGACTAATCAGACCTGGACAAGCGGCCCATATTAAAACTTGATGAGACAACAGGCCAGTGCAAGCTGAGCTCTAGTTTTAGTAGCTGATAATTCAAGGACATTGTCAAGCATGGAAAGTAAAAGCTACAGGACTTCCACGGACAAACTAGGGCGAAGCAATGTTGACAAAATCAAGCATCCGTTTCTGGACTGAATACAAAAATTGAACATCACCTGTTTAAAATCAAACATGACAATAAATACGGCACCAAGCTAAACAGCACTAACCACCGTCCAATCCTAAATGTCCACCATCTATGAACTCCTCCAACGTTGATGATGGATTGTAAAACACTCACAAACCTATTATGCCTGTTATCTAAGAGACGACTGTAGATAAGGTCACTCTTCAGCCAGCTCCCTACAGTTAACAACCAAGATGTTCTTGATCAAACAACAACAGATTTTATCATCTCAGCAGCAAAGAAGCATGACAGTACGCTACCACTGGTCAGCATGAGGAAATGGCTGCTCACAAAATAACTCCCCTCCCAGAAGAAATCAATCAACTGTAGGACTGATTTAAATAACCTAGTGTGGAGAAGGTTAATAACCAACTCGGTGGCCTCAGTGGGTTTAAAAAGTCACACAAGATTCAATTGTTTAAGACTTACAAATCACTAACCAAAAAAGCACATCTACGTCAGACAGTTCAAACTTTGGAGAATCTAGACGGCATTAATTAACTAAAAAACGATTTCTTCTGAGTAACATGCTGTAGCTATCTAGGAAAAAAACAGACCATTCCCAGGGGGCAGAAACCTCGTCTCATAAACACATCGTAACATGGAGCAGTGAATGTTGCAAAACCAGGTAGAAAATAAAAGCAATGCTGTTTAACCGGCTGGTACTGTACTCTCATGACTGACAAAAACAGTCTCACATAAAAACACAATGACAATTAAAATGCTAATGTACAAAGAACAACCTGTCTCATGTTTTACTGAGCAAATGCATTAAAACCTTTGTGGCTCATGCCAACAACATATGGTATTACATGTGGTTTAGTTTCACCAGAATGCTCATCTGCAGCTGTCAGAGTTTGTGTGAATGAGAAAAAGCATGGGTCTGTGGACACCTCCCTCACCTGTCCCTCCAGCATGTCTCCTCTTTGGATGCCCGGTTGCCTCTCCTCTGTGCTGTTGGTGCGCCGGATAGATAAACTGTGAGCCTTGCGCTTCTGCTTGGGGTGACGAGCAGCCGAAGCAGAACCGCTGCTGCTTCCGCCCTCCACAGGCATCCCTCCTACCTCGTGGGTGGCCCTGCCCCCTACTCACACCCTACCTGAGAGGCAGGTAAACAAAGGCCAGACTCGCTGGTTGGCTGGTGGACGGGTGGGTGGGTTAGATCTGCCAGCTATCACCGCCTGCCTGCAGGTAAAAAGGAAGTGAAGTTTAGGTTTACAGCCATTGTAGGTAAACAGCAGATCCAATACCTAAAGCCAACACCAAGGCAACATCGAACAATTATTTCATTGTCAATTAATCTGTTGATTATTTTCTTGATTAAACTATTTTTTTTGTTTGGTCTATAAAATGTAAAAAAAAAATGTTGAAAATATCAAAAGTATTTCCCAAATCCCAAGAGAATGTCATTAATCTTTTGTTCCCTACCCAAACATATTCAGTTTACTGTGAGAGGACTAAAGAAACCAGAACAGGTGCACATTTAAGAAGCAGGTATCAGAGAATTCCTTAAATAATTACTTGAACCGATTAATCGATTATTTAAAAAAAAAAATTTGTTAGTGATTAATGCAACAGTTGCCAATTGATGACCAATGGTCACCAACCAGCAATATGGACCATCATGCATTGCGCGAAAGGAAACGGAAACTAGATGAACGAGCGCGCGAAAAAAATCGCGTTTGTTTTGTTACATGTTATTTTACCCGGACAGTGAACGTCGCTGAAATTGCGGCGCTCGGTTGTGATTTGGACATACAACACCACTTTACTGTTTTAAGCTACTGGATCCTGAAGAAACGCTCTCTCATCTGGTATGTACAGCAAAATGACAATAAACTTGATGTCTTAGCTACGCGATAAACTGTGAATTTGTTGCGGCACAAATCGACGTAATTAACAGTGTCCGAAATGGTACTTTGCAGAGGTGCACCATCTATCCATCCATTTTCTATACACCGCTTAATCCTCATTAGGGTCGCGGGGGAGCTGGAGCCTCTCCCAGTTGACTTAGGGCGAAGGCAGGGGACACCCTGGACAGGTAACCTAGCTATCACTTAGAGACAGACAACCAAGCACACTCACATTCACACCTACGGACAATTTAGAATCACCAATTAACCTCAACATGTTTTTGGGAGGAAGCCGGAGAACATGCAAACTCCACGCAGAAAGATTCCGGTGCCACCGGGACGCGAACCGGCAACCTTCTTGCTGCGAGGCAACAGTGCTACCAACTGCGCCACCTTGCAGCGTGCACCATCTAGTGATCCCTACATAGGGAGTAGGGAGTGAGTGGATGATTTCGGACACAGCCACAGTTTATCAGTTGCAGTTAAATCATTTGTTCCTGGATCCTGAGCCCCATCACAGCTGGATATTATTTCACTCTGAGTATTTTTCTCTTGTATCAAGTGTTTTTATTGTGGGGAAAAAACCTGCTACAATGGTGAGATCTTTTCCATTTCCCAGCAGGATAATTCCATTAATGACATCATTTTTTGCTGTCAGATGCATTATAAAACATGGTAGCATAGCCACATAAGGAAAGCACATTTTATTGTACCATAAATGGCTGTAGTTAGATAAATTATCATCCCACATGGACTGAATTTTTACTACTGTACTGAAAAATAAAGCATGGATGTCTTCATATGAGTGAGCTTGTTCGCCTGAAATACTTTACACCACCTCTTCTCCTGACGCTAATAACCACCATGTTGACTGTACCTGTATTAGTCGTGCACATCAGATAATTAAAATAAGAAACCAACGTATATTATTATGTAATCCTGTATCTCTCCTATTGACAAAGCTTTCAAATAGCTCCTATAAGCTACTGAAACAGAATAACAGAATCTTTGACATTCAGCTGTCTTTTCAGTTCAGACTTCCAGATTTCTTTTATTACTCACTGCACCGTCTGTTGTTGGAGGATGACTGCGGTAATAATGTGTCATAATTTAAATGTGTCAATGATATAATTTCCTTGATGATTTTTATGTCATCCAGATTAACCTCTGACAGCCTGAGAGACGTTAGTCAGCCGCTAAAGAGCATCAGCGTTAGTCAGCAGACATTCCCACATTAAATTTAGAGTATTTTCATGAAGTTCAGTGGGTTACGTTTTGAGATGATGCGGGCTACCTGTATGATGCAGTAGTAATATCACGAGCAGCTGGACGACGCATAATAAACACTTAACTACCCTTATGTAGCTACAAAGGGACAAACTGAAAGTATGACACACGACAGATGACACGTAAATTCACTTATGTCTGTTAACGACCGCTGGCACATTAAATGGCGCTTGCAAAATGACTATTTGACCTCTGTTTCAGGACCTGTGACCTACCACCGAAATGATGCTGACATGTACGAAACAAGCAGACACTCACCACCGTCACTGCTGACTCTGAATTCATACTTGGAAAGCAAAGCTCGACAAATTAGCTACATGCTAGCACGGGCTAGCTGCCACATATCACCTTCATTGCGGCGTTCATACATCACACAGCAGCTAAAAGACACGACTATATCCTCCCCGGCCTGATATGAAACCACACAGCCCTATGAAGATGTACTTTTCAACATGCCGTCCACGAATGACTTTGACAACGGGCGGTGATAGCGCGCCGCAGTTTGACAAGTATCACAAATTGAATCCAAATTTTGACACATCACGTATTTTATTAGTGCGCTCACTTCCGTATCACGTGGCTTGTGTTTGCACTTTGTGAGCCAATGGGAAGCCGCATCGCCGATAGTAGAACGAATGAAAAACCGTGACGTCAGACACAGGGAACGAAGTGGTGCGACTCCCGTCGGCTCCGAAATAACGTCGTACACAAACGCAAGATACGTTTAAAGACGCGCTTTGTCTACCTGAAGCGGAACAAGGCTTCTGTAAGTAGGTGAACGCTTTATCGGTTTCTCTATAGGTTGCATATTTGACAGACAATGCATACTTATGTTCGGTTGTCAGAGGCCTGGGTGGTGCGAGCTGTGCTGTGGTCTGATGGCGTGTTGACAATCAGTGTCTGGAGGAAAACACGAAGTGGAGCGAGCTGGAACGGGACCCTAAAACCCCCGAACCACTCTCTACTGACTCATCAGTGATGGATTGTATTGAAATAGGTATTACTGACAGACAGGGGCCATGTTACTGCGAGAAGTACAGTCATACTTTTATTTTAATAAACTTTTCAACGCAAGGTTTAACCTGTGATACATTAGCAATGCAGCCATACAGTCGTCCTCAAATTTATTCATTAAAAAAGGCAAAATGCACAATAGTCACTCAAATAACTAGAAACCAAAAAAGTAATAATAAATAAAAATTTGATAAATTATAATTTAGTGAAGAAAGACATTGTTTTTGAATTGTGGTTGAAAAGAACAATTTTTAAAAAAACTAAAAAAACTGAACCAGATGTATTAGAGCACTTTGCTGATGAGCAGTGGAACAAATACCTGTCAACAGGTGCAGAAGTCTAATTGAGAGTTACAGAAAACACTTGATGGCAGTGATTGGCTCAAAGGGTTGTTCAACTAAATATTAGTTTATGGCTCCCATCATGCTTGCTTGCTTGTTTTTTTTGTTTGTTTGTTTTTTTCAAACATTAATGTTGAACCACAATTCAAAAGTGGTCATGATTTTCAATTTCATTTTCAATTTTTTATTTATTATTACTTCTGTCACGTTGCTGCTTTCACCTGTAGACTCCTTCATTAATGCCCAAACCATGTCAAAGCCTGCCTTCTGAGGCAGTTACAATGTTTAAACATATCCATCAGAGGAATTGATTGATTAATTCAGATAAGGTTTGCTTGTTCCCACAGCCAGCCTGAGCTCACACATAATTCAGGAGCCTTGACACGTTATGTGTTAAACCCATAAGCCACATTTACGCTGATATTCTGGTTTGTAAGTGTGATGGCAGCTGAAAGGGGTGATACAACTAGAATGCTATGTGTCTTCATCTCAAGAGGTGTGCAAGAAAAAATATAAATAAGATTAGTTCAGAGTAATAAGATCAATATTTTATTATAACAGAATGAACAGTCTGAGTTCAGTCTCACAGCAACAAAGGCTGGTAAAGAGAAAAGCAAAGACACGTTCTAACAGCAACAGACAAGGTCACAAGGGCATTATTATTAGTGTCCAAACAACATTTAGCCAGCAGTATTTTTCCATCATTTACCTGTTTATTCTACGCACATAAAGAAAAATACAATTATTTCAGAATCAGAATCAGATTTATTGCCAGGTGTAGTTTACACAATACAAGGAATTTGTTCTGGTGGGTTGGTGCAACAAACAACAATAAATATAGAGTAAACAATAAATATACAGTAAAATAAAGTAACTAGAAATAGAAATAGCTGTAATAGTGCAAACAACTGTAATAGTGCAAAGAATCAAGGTTGAATTTAAATAAGAACCATAGAATGATATTGTTATTTACAGGAATATTGAATATTACAAATATTATACAACTATAGGGCCCTCAGTTGAGGGATATAGTCGCTCCTGCCGGCCATGATGTGGTGTTTCTGAAAAAAATGACCTCTGACCTCTCGCAGAGCTATTTTAGCACTGGTTGACGCTAAAATAGAATTATTCAGAGGAGAGGCCGTTCCTAGGTCACCTGTAAAATATCAACTTGCACCTTAGCACTCGGGCAAGACACACAGATTGGACCGATTACTTGTTGGACTTCTGGTCAGGGGCAATTACAACACGAGGGCCCTCAGTAGAGAGATATAGTTGCCCCTGCTGGCCATAATTGCACTGAGTCCCAGTAAACCGTTATTACAACTCTAATCATGATTGACTGGTTGTCCAAGTTGAAATGGGTCCTATCCATGTATACATTACATGTGATTTAAAATATAATGTCAATATCAACATTTTTTAACCTTAAGTTTCACCTTGAAATATCCCCGATGTCAAATGTCACATCCCCAGTGGGAAGCCTGTACATGGTTCTGATACAAACAATCTGTCTGTCTTGTACCGTGTTGAAGTCACAGTGCAGTCAAAATGTATGACCTTGAGTCTGACCTTAAAATACCATCCCAGGTCAAATGTAACATCACCAACAGAAAGGCCCAACATGGCTGCTTATCTGCACCAAATACCATAAATCTACCTTCCACCCTTTTGAAGGTATACAGCATTTTTGAAATAGTGATCTCAAGTGGAGCTATTTTTGCACTGACATTCTGAGCTCACCTGTAAGATATCCACCTGTTAGACCTCCACACTGAGACTTTTACACAGAAAGACACACAGATAGGACTGATTACTCTAGTTGTAGACCCCTCCTCAGGGGCAACAATCACAGAGTAACTTGTTCAGCACTGGTTTATGTCGGACATCACCCAGTCATCACCTGGACCTCCTCAGTCTGCAGGTGATGCCGCTTCCGATCCGTCCCGGTTTGCTACTCTCCGTTTTTTACCTGCAGCCACATCTTCCGTCCTTGTGATTGGTTTTCTGTTTTGGTCAGGCGATGGTGCGGCCTGTGTGGGCGGTGCTTCGGTTGGTATCCCGGCAGGGAGCCGCTGTGCTGAAATCAAACGTACCTGTCCCCGGCAGAGCAGCAGCTCCTCTGAGCCTCAGACCTGCGTGCGCAGCCATCAGCTCCTGCTGCAGAGCCTCGTCCAGGTAAGACGGAGACGCAGAAACCGCTTCTGTGTTTGAGTCTAAAGACAGGAAAGCCTGTGATAAGCCTGGTGGCCGTAAGCTGGAGGTCTCTGTGCTATTGATAGCTGAGCTGAAACGCGGCTTGTGCGTCTCCGTAGTCCGGATATGCGCCGCTGCTGTCTCTTGATGGAACAAAGTCACACCAAAGTCTACTCTAAAAAGTCAAATATTTGGTGTAGCTTTAGTTATCGGGCGAATTACTCGCTTTGAGAATAGCCTCTCAAAGCCTGAGTGTGTTCTCTTCCAATCGGCATTCATCAATAAGCCAGCTTCACTACCACGTTATTTTAACATGTGCATTTTGTAAACTTTGTGGTTGAGCTTGAAAATGGAGCCTAGTATCAGGTGGAATACTGCATCAGACTAGCCTGAGTCAGATAAGTCATTAGCAGTGTCTGGGATAACTGGAGAGTTATTTATCAAACAGCAAAACTCAAAAAATGTGTAGCTCCCAGCTTCCTGAAAGGGAATATTTACTCATTTTGTACTTGATATCATTGTACACTGAGTGTCTTTGGGTTTTGGAGTTTGGATCAGACAAACCAGCAATCTGAAAATCTTCCTTGGACACTGGGCAGTTGCATTTTTTACTAATTGCCACTCAGATATGTTGATAATTAGAGCTGCAACAATAAACTGTCAAGTGGTCAAGTGTTAATTTAATCACCAACTATTTTAGTGATTAATTATTCAGTTTCAGTAATGTTGTAAGAGTCTTAAATTTGAATGTTGTCTGGTTTCTTTCCTCCTTTATGACAGTAAACTGAGTATTTTTGGGTTGTGGACAAAACAAGATATTTGGAGATGTCTCCTTGGGCTTTGGGAAACACTGATGAACATTTTTCATAATTTTCTGACATTTTAAGGACCAAACAAGTAATCAACAGTGAAAATAGTCACTAGATGCAGCTCTGTTGATAACACAGTGATTATTTTGAGAATTTAAAAGTGCAAACCTTGTTTAAGCTTTAGGAAATACACCTAGGAGAGGCACACACCATATAATATATCTACAATACGTCATGAGTGTAAAAGCTTAGATTTTGAACTTGAGGACTGATTTTCTTTCTTTGCTTTCTTTTCCAAACCGTCCACAATGTGGTTTGAAGGAGCTGATAAATTGATAAAACTGTAAATCTTTAACCGTTGTCCACCTGTCCGTCCTCCCGCTGCCCCACAGTGACGCGAGACACCTGCACTCTCCAGCCAGAATGCCTGAGATAACCACAGATCACCTGGACCAGAAACAGGTGCAGCTGCTGTCCGAGATGTGCATTCTCATCGACGAGAACGACCGCAAGATCGGAGCAGACACCAAGAAAAACTGCCACCTCAACTCCAACATCGATAAAGGTGTCTGTCTGCTACATTAAAATGCATGCAGGAGCACGTGTTTTCCTTTTAACGCCCCTGAGTCGTACTGAAACGGTGTCTTTGTCTCACCAGGGTTACTACACAGAGCTTTCAGCGTCTTCATTTTCAACAGCGAAGAGAAGCTGCTCTTACAACAGAGGTCTGACGCCAAAATCACTTTCCCAGGTCAGCAGAAAACACTGAGCCTCCCAGTCCGACTCCTCTCTGAGCTACTCCACTGCTACACGTTGCATAGTCAACAACATTTGTAGGTAACGGTTTGAACAGTCTCCTGTGTGTGTGTGTGTGTGCGTTTGTGCAGGCTGCTTCACAAACACATGCTGCAGTCACCCTTTACACACAGACAGCGAGCTGGAGGAGAGGGATGCACTGGGGGTGAGGACGGCTGCTCAGAGGAGACTCAACGCTGAGCTGGGTATCCCCCCAGAACAGGTATGCTGTCCACTGTGTGCGCTGGCTTCACTGCAAGAGGATTATTGAGGATTGTGTCCAATCTGTGCTTGCGCCTGATCTCCTCTTCCTTCCTGTTGCTTCTCAGGTGACTCCAGATGAAATGACCTATCTAACACGAATCCACTACAAGGCTCAGTCGGACGGCGTGTGGGGAGAACATGAGATTGACTACATCCTCTTCATGCAGAAGGTAGTACTGTAAGGCCTGGTGGACCTAGAGCAGGGTTGCATTTGAACGTATGATGCCGATAGACATTTCAGACACGCACTACTTTCCATTGATGTGATGGCAGTTAAACATAACGACGTCATGTCTGAATGAGCGCCCTGATCACTTTTCCCGTAAACTCGTGGTGGCAGTCTTTATGCAGTCATCCTCCTGAGTCCCATCACAGCTGTCCTGATATTTTTATTTTATAGTTTGTAAAGCAGTAGTTAGATTATCATCACACATTAACTTTCAATCATAAATAAACTCGGCTGTTAGGTTTGTGGACAGTGTGATAAGCTGTCTTTAGATTTAGCCTTTTGTTTGATATTACATTATTATGTGTGAATCATCACTTGGCGTTTTGTCTACTTTCACAAATATCGCTTACATACCGTCTTTCTTTCCATCACTGTAGTGGGTATGTCTGAATGAAGCTGTGAGACGCATTAACATAAAACGAACCGAGTTCAGTGTCTTTTTTTACTTTATGAAGGAGATATTTTTCCAGTGAAAAAAAATGCATGCACTTTTTAAAGCACCTTTTTTGAGTAACTTTAGACATGACACACATTAAACTGCACTTTTAGAGTCTGCAGACATCGAAGAAAAATGACATCTGACCAGATTTACAAGAGTTCCTGAATACTTTTATGGTCTAGGTGGCCAAAGTCCTGTGCGTCTATGACATTCCTGCACCAGCTCATACTTTATGGTCATCCTATTGATTAATTGATCTTAGAGGTTCACATACTTTGACCACTCACAGATCTGTAATATTGGATCATTTTTCTTATTAAATAAATGACTACGTGTAATATTACTGTCACATTTCTTTTTGGGGGGTCCTGTTTATTTTCTGTTAGGACTTGTGTAAAAATCTACAATGTTTTCGGTCATATTTATCTTAAAATACTGAAAATTCTCGACTGTTGTAAACCTTCAAACATCACTGTAGTCAAGTACGTATTTAGACAGTCTTCATCTGGTTGCCTGCAGCCTGTCTATGAGCCTAACGTTACGGATTACAATAAAACTTTTTTTTTAATGTCTCTCTGTAGGACGTGGAGTTGAGTCCAGATCCCAATGAGATCAAAACTCACTGTTATGTGAGCAAAGAGGAGCTGAAGGAGATGTTAGAGAAAGCCAAGCGCAAGGAGCTGGAGATCACGCCCTGGTTCGCCCTCATCGCGGAGACCTTCCTCTTCAAGTGGTGGGACAACCTGCAGAACCTCAAGCAGTTCATGGATCACAACAGCATCCACCGCATGTAGCCGTCATCATCAGGCTCTACCTCCAGTTATGTCAAGCTTTTGATTGTCACAGAACTTGCCTGACGCACGGCTGGCTCGGCTGCTTGAGACCTCCCGAAAGTCGGCGTTCGCACAAAACGTAAGCGGTTCACTGGCTGCTTTAGCTGAGGTAGTTGTGATCGTGGTAGGGCTTTTGCACTGGAAGAGAAAGCAGAAAATCTATGGTTTACATAGGTTTGAGGCACCGAGGTGCATTTCTCATCACAGCTGGTTAGTTGTTCCTTGTAGTGCTGGCTGGCCGGATCATCAGCCAGGTAGTCAGTCTGAATAAGCTTCACTGTTTCAGCTTGAACAGAAGACATCAAACATTTCCGTTCATCAAGTAGAAAAAAACAGCATTAATACTAACAGCCCCAGAAAGAGAATAGCTTATTTTTGTATAAAACATTAAAGTGCCTGATAACAGGTCAGTAGGCAGAGGTGAGACATGTCTCCAAGTTCAAACAATCACCATCACGCTGTACATTGTGGACAGTGATATCAGTGAACAGGCTGTATGTTTTTACTTTTTTGCACAATAAAGTGATTATTGGCAGTGGATGGCTTCATTTCATCATCATAAGCAATGGCAAAGTAACACCTATATCAGTGGTAAATGGTCTTTTACAATGTGTTTCTCATTCACCCATTCACACACACATTCACACACCAATGACAACAGAGCTGCCATGCAACGTACCTGCATGTCACTGGGAGCAACTTCAGGTTCAATGTATTGCCCAAAGACACTTCAACTGTGGAGGGGCAGGGGATCGAACCACCAACCTTGCGATTGGAGGACAACCTGCTCTACCACCTGAGCCTCAGCCGCCCACCGCAACACCTATATCAATGTGATAATGTCTTCAGCAGAAAATTGTTTTTGTAACTTAAAAAGAAGACATACATTGAACAAAGCTGTGACATTAATCTCACTTTACATTGATTTGGTGAACAGACGATGTTTTCCCAGTAGGTGGCAGCAGAAACCTTTGTGGCAGCTTTTAAATCTGACAAATTCAAAGCACTACATCTGCCACTGGTGGCTACTGGTTTCACAAGTACTGTCTGCTACAGGCTCACCAATCATCAGATCTAGTGTCTGATGAAGTCAAGGACAGACTGGTGAAACTGGTTTCAGTGCATGAGATGATGTTTTCTTTTTTAGAGTTTTATCATTTTTAGGCAACTACTTAAATCAGGGGTGGTTAATCCTGGTCCTCGAGGGCCACAATCCTGCATGTTTTAGACGTTTCCCTCTTCGAGCACACCTGATTCAAATGATCAGGATTGTTATCAGGCTTCTTGATGATGAGCTGATCATTTGAATCAGGTGTGTTGGAAGAGGGAAACATCTAAAACATGCAGGATTGTGGCCCTCAAGGACCAGGACTGCTCACCCCTGACTTAAGTGGTTTGTTCAAAGTGTATACAGACAGTAAAACTGGCGAACTACCATCACAGTGATGGCTTCTTTTTTTTTTTTAAACATATTTTTCTTCAGAAAACAAAACAAAACAAAAAAACTCTTCAGGACGGTGGTGTTCACATCTGGTGGTTTGCAGAGTACACACAGTTGGAAGAGCTCCATGAAGTGCTTTATGAGTGTTCAATAACTACACGATTAAATCGAGTTAGAGGCTTTTTATTTGCAAGCTCAATGCACTTTCATTTTGTTAACACTAAGGCACGTGACCCGATTGTTTGTAGAGCACAAAGCAGCAACAAGATATGACATCGGATATAATTTTATATGTGAACCATATAAAAAAAAAAAAAAACACTTCACAACAGAAATAGACATTTGCATTAAATATGCATACTGCAGTACTGTATGTAGTTTCTATAATGCTACCATGTTTAATACTGAACCTTTGTGCTCCTGTTAGTCCTTGGCCACACTGTAAGTGAAAAGCAAAGTATCAAAAAGTAAGTGGCACGATTAACAAACATAATTAATCAGGCTGGCACAAGACAACCAAATTTACAATGAGATGGCCTTCCAGTTATCACAATATTTCAGATTCATACTTTAAGTTTGGCATTGCAGAGTAAAGTGTAGAGAGAAGCATGTGTAAACTATACAACATTTGAGGAAAAATAAACTCCATGTGCCAGAAATAGAAAGGTATATGAACCCAAGCATGGTATTTCTGAGGATGTAGGCATCACGTGAGAGATCAGAAACCTATATGTATTACCCGGTCACACCAGGCTACGATGCATTTACTGGTATTAAAAGATAATCTTTGCCATCTCAGTGAGCAAAAACCCTTTTACATAACTGTTGTAATTTGATTCTGGAGCAATCAAACATGCATAAAAAAATTATTTGCTTGCCCCAGTGATGCATTCAAAAAGCTGTTCAGAGTCCAGTGCAGTGTTTTCTGTACTGAGGACTCTGCTTTGTTTTTTAAGGTGTCTTGTTTCAGGAATTGCTACAGCAACAGTGCAAGGCTTATTATTGTTCATTCATTCCGACTATTTTTAAAAGTGCAGTTCCCTACAAATTAACCTCGTCTTTCGAAATGATGGAATGTTCTTTTAAAAGCACAAAATAACAGCTAAATTAAAACAAATATGTTGCTATCTAACAGCAACAGCAGCTGGATCTATTTTTACACTTAAAAACAAAAGATTGGTCAACGGAGTGGAGTCGTGACGCAGGGCGTGTGATGTGTGGTTGGTTCTTTGACTGTTAATGTGGTGAAATACGAGAGCTGACTGAGGAAAGCACAGGGAGGAGTTTGTCTAATTGCATGATAAGAAAAAGCTAGTATTTGGTTTGTATCTGCAAAAAGATAAGAGTGGTCCATTTCTGGTTTCTTCTTTGTGGTGTCACACGGTCCCTGCAGGGTTCGGTGCAGGAGAGGAGTTGGGTGGACTCAGCTTCATGGTATTACAAAAGTCCACCACTTGACCTGGTACTTCAGCCAACACACTCTTTGCCAGAGCTTCGGGAGGAGCCTGAAGTGCAAAGCCATGAGATAAAATTATAAAAAAACAACAAAGGCCTTTACTAGTTTCCTGTCATCACTGATTTGAATAGATGAAGGGAGCATGAATGACAAGTAAGAAGTCATGCAGGTGAAAACTGCTCAGAAGGAAAATTCCACCTGTCTAATTTTGGATGTTGTTTTGTCATTTTGCCAGAGTTTTTTAACTCTTTTTTTTGAGGCTGCCTTCTGGTGACCTCCAGATGAGTTGCTTGCACCTTTTACGAAGGTGGACTGTAGCGTTACAGTCGGACAAGTAGTGAAGAGTCAGCAACGAGCCAGTTACCTCCTGATATCAGTCTAATGAAGTAAAACCAGCCACCACAATGTGCCATACAGACCAAGTGAACTGCAGCATCCAAACCCCTGTACTGACTGCACTGACTGGACAAAGGTGTTCTATAATGCTCAGCAGTTACGTTACACCTAAACAGCTACAACATTCAATCCCCCTGCATAATACTGTGTAGGTCTCCCTTGTGCCACCTAAACAGCTGAGACCCATCAAGGCATGGACTCCACAGACCTCCTGTGGTATCAGGCACCAAGACTGCAGGTTGTGAAGTCGGACCTTCACGAATTCAACTTGTTTTTCCAGCACATCACACAGATGCTTGATCAGACTGAGATCTGGGGAACCTGGACACTGAGTCAACAGCTTGAAGTGTTTGTTTCTCAAACCGTTCCTAAATCATTTTTTAAAATGTGCCATGGAGCATTATCCTGCTAAACGAGGTCACTGCCATCAGGGAATACTGCTGCCATGAAGGAGTGTGTCACATTGTTTAGGTAGGTGGTACTTGTCACAGTAACACCCACATGGATAAAGGGCCGAGTTTTCCTCGTAATATGTTGAACCTCGGCCATGAATCCTCAGATCCTTATGCGGCCCATTTGTTCTGACTGTTCACCCCTTGACAGGTGCCATTTTAACAACATCATCAATGTTAATCACTTCACCGGTCAGTAGCTGTGATGTCGTGGCTGATCTTTGTGCCACTTTAGCAGCATTTAAGGAACACAGAGGAGTTTTCCTTTCTTTGATTGTTCATCAGTGCCAGAGGTCCTCAGTCTGAAAGGACACTCTCACTTTGACACTGATGAAGAATCTTAAGCAAAACAAAGTTAGAAAAGTAGGAAGGAGGACAGTCATTAACATTAAGATAGAGATCACTACATGTGGTGGTTCATGCAGCTGTTAGTCATATAGGTGAAGCAGAATGCTAGGATGATGGTGGGGTTTATGTAATATGATATCTGGGGTACCCTAAGAAGCATTGGGATCGTGGGGAGGCTTCAGTTTGAATAAACTGAAGAAGGACGCCACTTGCTGAGGTAACTCGGCCAAAACGCTTTGGGCAAGAGCCTGGCTGGGCGCCTGAAAAGAAATAAACAAGGCAAAGAGATAAGCTAAGTGAGATTTAAGTTGAGGGTGGGGGAATCCCAGAGCTTGGACAGGTGTAGTGGAATTATAAGGAGAACCTGCCTTACTATGTTTAGTTCATAATCCTGACGTCAACCAACCCAAAGATGACGCAGTGAAATGCTCAGAAAGAGGTTGGAATGCATGCAGTTTTTTATAGCAATGGGTTGGCGTATTGAGGAAAAATCAGCAGAAATCACAGAAAACAAATCTCATATGAAGCAGGAGTAATGGAAGGGTGTCCGGCGTTTTCACTGTGACTTACGTTTTTGAACTGCCTGAATGGCACAAACTGGACAATGTCTCTCATGGCAGCCTCGCCACTCAGAGAGCGCAGACGGCCGTCGTCTCCGTCCAGGAACTCCATGGCGCTGAAGTCCGCCCCTCCCACCCCGACTATGATGATAGACATGGGCAGGCGAGAGGCGTTGACGATGGCGTTGCGTGTCTCATCCATGTCCGTGATGACTCCGTCGGTGATGATCAGAAGGACAAAGTATTGCTTCAGGAGGACAGCGACAACACATTTGTAGAGCAGCAGTAGATTAGTTGTCTGAGCTGTATGTTAGAAGCATTTCAAAACATCACAGTGTGCATTTTGGCATGCTCAATGTGTACTTGAGGGATACTGGCCAAAGATCACCAATCAAATCCCAATGTATTGTTGAAAGATCAGTTCATCAAGCACCGACGCTGCTCATCACATTTAAGAAGTTAATTACACTCCGGTGTTCACAAAATCTCAGATAAATCCAATAATTGTTGAGCATACGATTCAAGTTATTCTCCCTCATAGGCATACGACTCTGATCACTATGGACCTGGCATCTGGAAATAGCTTGAAAACTAATTACTGTGGTCATATCCTAATAATCCGGTTCCTCTGAATCAAGCTATTATCAAATTATTTGCTGCACTGTAAGGATTATACATTAAATTGGCACTGAAAGGCTTTTAACCCCACCCTGTTTAATGTGGCGAAACAAAATGTTTACTGTGAGTAGAGTCTTGTGCAATAGGCAGTGCAGAAGTAACGATGAGTACTGGATAAACTGGGGACTGCGCTGCCATGTCCTGACCTGACCTGTAGTCAAGTCCTGGATATACATGGTAACGTGTTCACAGATTATTTGTCACACATCCCTTTGTGGGAGTCTGTTCTCATTGGCACAGTTTCTATATTTCCCGTGGTGTTGCTCCCCTTTCTGTTTGTTGCCTTTGCAGCTACAAGGAGAGTCTTCAGATGTGATGTTGTAGCAGAGAAGTGGAGCTGCTTTTTACAGCCTTATCTTTGTTTGTCTCCATAATTGAGTCCAAGGATATTTTCATTGTAGTTTCACGACCTTTACTTTTAAGCTCTTATCTTGATCGTTAAAGGGGCTAGCTACATGTGCTGCACCTTGTTTTGTTTTTCAAACAGTCCCGACTACTTAGATCTTCCATCATTTGATAGGATAGCATTTGCCTTTGTTTTTTACATTAGTCTTTAGCTCCAGGGATAAATATAGGATATGATTACTGTACAGACAAGTACTCACCGATGCAGTGGTCTGCTGGAGGGCTTGTTTGGCGAAGCAGGCCACATGGTTGATGATAGGAGAGAAGTTGGTGGGACCATAGAGTTTGACCTGAGGCAGACAAACCCTGTAGGCGTCCACCACGCCTTCAACGCCTGCACACACAATCAACGTAGTAAAGATTAAACTCACACACTGGAACATGAGCACTACAACATATTAAACAGGGACAGACCGATGATTAGACTGGCCGATTATTGTGGATTAGTGTTTGCATTTTTCAGATCGTCTGTATTTTTATTGAGCGATTATTGATAAATTAAAGGTCTCAGGACTCTGTGATCTTAGAAATCTCTAAATCTCTTAAGCACAGACTACGAAAACTGAACAAAAAGCACAAGCCGTTGCCATAAACATGGAATCAGCTAAGCTCACAGTGGCTGAGGCTAAATTAGAAGGCAGCGACAAATTACCCTGAAACAGAGTTTAGAAAAACAATAATTTGTAATGCTTTAAGAGATGGACAATAAAAGTGATAGAACAGAGAAAGAGTAAGAAAACAGAGAGGATAAGCTGGAGACAAACTAATCAATCTCAACCGATCCCCCATAAACAGAGGAGAGAATTTAAATCACTTCTAATTCTATTTTACATATTTACTTATAGTCACCCTAGTTATGAATGACATCTAATGGATACTGGGTCCAAATATTTTAGGTTATCAGCCGGTGTTGATCACCAATAATCAGCAACTCTTTCAGGCCTGGAAAACCAGTCGACCTCTAACATTAACCCACAAGTGTACTGTAGATAACATCAGCAGTTTAAATCTGTCTGAAGGTTTAAATTAACCAGTGATCCATCAACAAACCTGCACAGAACGGGTTCGACGGGTTGAAATTCAGAGGAAATTCGTGGGAAACCTGTAACACATTGCCATCAGATATCATTTCCTGTGCCAAACCACTAAATGACCTTGTAACCAGATAACGAACGAAACAACAAAGCTTATCTTTCAAAGGTGTTTGTCGTCTCATATTAAAATGCAAGCTTTACCTGCCACGAGGGCGGAATCTGGGCCCCGAAGCCAAAGGCGGGAAACATCTTGTCACTACACACAAAAGGTAAATGATACGATTAGATGACTGACATCATATTTAGTCATTCAAACTCCAGCCACAGTGTACACAAAGACGTGTCAGCTGTGGCTGCCAGAAGGTTCATACAGTCAGCAATGAAGTTAGATGGGAGTTATGTCTTGTGGAATCGATCATGTGTCATGAAGACATCTCAAAAAGAATTGGTCAAGAACGTGGAACTTGTTTACACGTTAACTCTGTATATGGGAAACTTAACCTGTCGTAGTCCTGGATGACGTTGCCCACAGACCAGATAGCGGAGAGGTACTCGTTAACACCCTGAGGACTGATGTAGTGCAGAGACTGGGGAGACTTGGGATCCCCGTTGGAGCCTGTGAAGTCGATAGCCACCTAATGTGCGGAAATAACAGATATTGTCAGGTTTATCGATGACAAAGAATGCAAACAAATAAAAAATGGGCATTAAACTCACAGTGAAGTTGAGCTGACATCCTCCCATAATATAATCCAGGAAGGTATACTCCTTCACCACCTAAAAGATAAACCATCTGTCTTATAGCAGAGAACTGGCAACATGTGTAAAATCAAATCCATACTGCTGCTTCTCAAGTGACATATTTTGCAAAAAATAAAAACGTACACACCTGGCAATGCTTTACACTCACAATACCAGAGTTCTTGTAGCCCTTCTTCTTCTGTTTCTTTTTACTGTTGATGCATTCAAACTCTGCCTGCAAAAAAACAGCAAAGCCAGAAGCTCTTCGTCAAAGCCAAAATACCATGAAAACAAAAGCTGTGTTGCAAATTTTGCTTCAACTTAGTCGCTGCTCTTAGCCAGACTAATTTACAATGACTAGTTAAACGGCATGTCAACAATACAAAATAAAGTAGAGCATAAATAAGCAGCATCTCGCTTAATGTTTACAATATTGTTGGTTGTTCAAACAATGCACACACACATACTCGTACCGGAGAAGACCGCGATGCTTCTTGGAGGCGCGTCATTGTGGTCTCAAAGATTCCAATAAGATCATGTGAGCCATCGCTGTCATAGTCGTAGCACTCAACCTAGACACAGGTAAAAAAACATTTGTAGCTGAGCAGAGAAAACACAGAAATAGTTTATTCACACTGCAGGCGAATAATAAATCTACTTCAAGTGTCAGTTCACCCAAACTACAAAAAAAAATAAAAAATTCATGAACTTTGCTAGGAACAGTTTTTAAAGGAATAGTCTCAATGAAAACTGTCACCTCAAAATTCCATAAACTTCCTTTTTTTTGGAATTGGAGGCAAATTACAAAAATCCAGGCAGATAAAACCAAAACCATCTGCACTGTTAGACACCATTAGAGGCAAATGAGAGAAGGTGTTTGCCATTAGAGTGAACTGTCAGAAAACAGAAGAAAAAACAGACAACGTGCAAAAGTGAGATCTGAAACACAAGTCTTTGTAATACTTGTGCACAAGACAGAAGCTGGAAACAAAATGAGTATGTGTAGATCCAGACAAATGTTTCTATGCTAAGGTTGGATGAAGAAAACCTGGGCAGCCGAGGGCCCCGCTGAGACATTCACACGCACTCCACCCAGTAAAGTGATGGTACGATGAAAAAGACAAACACCGACGCACTGGGTAACTCACTTGTCCTGTATGGTGGGAAACTGCTTCCTTCCTGACATGCTCACTTCAGAAGTTAAAAAAAATATATATATCGTCAAGCTCGTACTAAATACACTATGATCAGTTCATACATTTGGAGATGTCTGAATGAAAACCAATTTTTTTTTTCTGGTTTAAAGTTTGTCTTGTGTCATCAAAACACGCAGCGCTGTTTGGATTAAACCAATGTGGCTGCAGGTGTGAGTCTCAGTTTGAACACGTTGTACATTTGTGAGTGGTTGACGTTTACTTTTATCGGTTTGTCCATGTCTCCTCCACACAGGGACTGCAGGGGGATTCGGAATGGCCTCCATGTTGGATTCAAGTTGTTCTTCACCACCTGAGAACACAGTGAAGGAAAATTAGACAAATGCAAGATGAGTGGCTGCATATTTGGCGAACACAGCAGACACCCACATCATCACTGGGTTTGGAGATTATTTTGTTGGAAGAACTTGATTAGATTCTTCATCACACACAGAATCAGAAATAAACACACATCAGTACCACGGCCATGCTGGAGAAAATGTGGAAATATGAATGTAATCCACTCTCGTGTATTTTGGTTTTGTCTAAAAATCACACACTTGATCAGATAATCATTCAAATTCTGGGCTATAATAAACCCAAGTCATGCGTACTACTGTATCTGGGAAACAAGTCAGGCAGTGCTGTATAAAAGAGGACAGATATTTACTGAAAATTATCTTAGCAGCAAGGAAATGGTATAAAGCAGATCCGCCAACACAGCAGGACTGGCAAAACACTGTGAGTGAGATACATGTAAGGGAACTGTTGACCCATAAGACAAGAACTCAAGAAGAACTATGTCGAGAAAAACGGGAGAAGTGGCGTGTTAAACAACGACAGCATAAGGACAACTGATGACAACTTGGGAGCAAATTGTAGAGACGTGGCAATCCACTGTTCTTGTTCTTTCGAGGTTTTTTCTGTTTTGTTTTGTTTTGTTCATATTTGCTACATGTTCTTAAAAAAAGAAACAATAAAAATAAAATGTTAAAAAAAAATAAAAGAAAATTAGACAAATGCACAATTCTCCATCAAGAACAAAATATATTAAATCTAACTGAAACCACATTTAATCATCACTTCTTGCATTTTAAAATAAGGTCAAAGTGTCTCTGAGGAAATACCAGAAATGCTCCTTTTTAGCTGAAGCGGTTGGAGGTTCATGTCGGTGGCACTTTGAGGCCTGGCAGAGGAGAGATAAAGTGAACACGCTTGCACAAAGCATGAGCAGACAGCGTGCTCTACTGAAGACCATCTCAGAGTCCAATCAGACCCAAG